TGGGTGTACTTAGCTCCATAGCATGTAGGAGCCCCTCCCCCGCTGTGCATGTTCCCTATAGATGGCTTCCCTCTCCTCCCCTTTCATCTTCATTGCATTCCTGCCCCTCCTCCTGCGGGTGGGCGGGACCGGCTTGCTTGATTGACTGCTCTGTGCTTGAGGCGGCGGTAGATAGATGACGTGATGAGTATGTGACTGTATGACATCCAGGCTTACTGGTCGCTCGATGGGGGATTATGGCAAATAGAGACGGCTCCGGGCTCCACGCACAGGGGCCCCCAGCATGCCCGGGGGTCATGGATTTTTCTGCTCGGCTTGTGGCTCCATCATAACGCAGGAATATCTGTGCACACTCCTTCCGCCTCCCCTCTGCCATAGTACAAGAAGACTGACCATAGACATCAGACGGCTGGAGAGTCCACCTGGGGGTGATCTGTGACCTCCGCAGACCCCCCCCACCCCCCGGGCTGAATACTATCTATAGACCTTGCAGCGGCATGTATGGCCAAAGTGAACGATGAGGTTGGTGCCCAATCAGCGTCTCACGTCTATGGCTGGTCTGATCATCGAGTGATAGAATCTGCCTTGTAGAAGGATGTACGTCCGGAACACGGGAAGAACCCGCAAACTCTACATGTGGGACCATTCCCGGTCATAGAGTATAATATAGAGAGTCTGATGGGGGTCATAGAGTATAATATAGAGAGTCTGATGGGGGTCATAGTATAATATAGAGAGTCTGATGGGGGTCATAGAGTATAATATAGAGAGTCCGATGGGGGTCATAGTATAATATAGAGAGTCTTGTGATTGGCTGAGGTCGGGCGAGGAGAAGAGTTCGGGGCAGCAGGTGGACTGTAGTTGGCGGTTCTTACAATTGGCGCTCACCGTTTGGTAGAAGAGCTAACAGTCTAAATAAGATCTTGTCCTGTCCAGGCCACACTCAGACCTCGTGGGTTGGTGCAGATTATGTCATGTGTATATAAAGGCCCCGCCCAGATTCAGTCATGTGACCTGTATATTGGCTGAGGAAATGGAAGCAGGGCTGACGCTGACTCCTCCGGGAGAACCTGTCATACCGCTGGAGGAACTCCGGAAATTGGGGGTTCTGAATGGAGTGGGGGAAGGGTCAGAACCTCTCTCCTTCCGGCACCACTCGCAGCTTCTTCCTTCCCTGCATTGGAATGGGCGGTGTCGGTGACCCCCGGGGGAGTGTCGGTGACCCCCGGGGGAGCGGCCATGTCGGTGACCCCCGGGGGAGCGGTGATGTCACTTCCCTGGTCATGTGATAGTGCTCAGGCCTAGCGATGGTCACATGACCCTAAATACCTCATGCCGGGTATTGGGACGGTTGCAAAGGAGGAGGAAGCGGTGAGCGACCTGAGAAGGTGACGATGTCTCCCCTCCCTTCCAGTCACATGACCGCGCAGGAAGTGAAAGGATCTTCACAATGATTACACATAAACCAATAAGATGCCGACGCAGAGGGGGGACCCTCCTCCCCTCCATCCCAACAATCCTGAATGTCCCCCCCGTGTCCTCCGCAGTGTCGGGGCCGGGAGGTCATGGCAACCTGATATCACCGGGGGATCCGGGTATGACATCATCACTCCGGGTGTGACATCACTCCGCCTACTTAAGGGGAGTGGTCGGGATTGGCTTCATCTTCTTCTATGTGATTCTTACATAGAGGGGTGAGAGTCGGAGGTGGGAGGAGCCCTGAGGCTGAACTCGTGACGCAAGCTGTCTTCCTCCCCCTGAGTGGCCCTAACATTGATCACGGAGCCCCTCCCCCCCCGTGCCGTGGCTCAGCATTATGTGATCGGGGGTGGAGCCGAGGCCGGGAGCTCCTCCCCCAATGTCCTCAATCTGCTGTGTGCACTTTGTTTCCCATCTGCTGTGTGGAAAGGTGACAGGTACTCTTTGCTGCGCCGACTATTCCGCACCTTCTGCATGACGGGGCCCCTTCGGGCCCTCTGAGACCGCGGGCCGCACAGCACTCGTAGACGTGATCGTCGTCCTCCATAGATGGAGTTCTCCCCATTGCAGGAGAGTGTCGCCCCTTCCCCCGGCCAGGACCATCTGTGGCTCCGAGTGTGCCACCCTGTGCAGTACTACCGGGGCCCTTTCCTCGGGGCCCCTCAGCATTAGATCTGTGTGATGGAGAGGACGCCGGTCAGGACCGTGCCTGGATAATAGAGATGGCCGTGTCCCCGGGGCCCCCCAGCGCTGGATCTGTACAGTATGGATGAGGGTGGTCGGGATAGAGCATGGGGTTAATGTTGGTATTGGGCCCCGGGGGCCCCTCGGCGTTAGGTCTGTGCTGTGGAGAGTCATGTGTTTCCTGTGGGGAGGAGACTCTGCACGCCGCCCTCCAGGTCGGTCTCGGTATTGCAGCAACTGAGGCGCACCGCATGTCGGAGCTCCACGGGTCTCGGGGGGATGAGGTGGCGTTGTCACCACTCGGGAGGTTCCCGTATAGCAGGGGTAGCCAAACCTCCGGCCCCCCAACTGGGGGGTGAAACTACAAATCCCATCATGCGTCTCTCTCTCCGGGAGTCACGTCTGTGAGAATCTTGCAATGCCTCCTGGGATTTGTAGTTCCACCTACAGCTGGGGGGCCGGAGGTTTGGCTACCCCTGCTGTATAGTGTCATACGTGTGCCTGGTGGGTGGGGGTCGGCCAGGCTCTGGCGGTGTGTGGTATGTTGTATGTTGTATGATGGTGACACGGGATGTGGACGTGTAATGACCCGACTTCTCTTTCCAGTGGCTCCGGACACCATCAACAACCACGTGAAGACCTGCCGGGAGGAGCAGAAGAATCTGCACTTCTTCGCCCCGGAGTATGGAGGTACGAGGGTCCGTCCGGGGGCCATGCCGCGCGCGCCGTTCCATGTGTAATGCCGCGCGCCGTTCCATGTGTAATGCCGCGCGCCGTGCCATGTGTAATGCCGCGCGCCGTGCCATGTGTAATGCCGCGCGCCGTGCCATGTGTAATGCCGCGCGCCGTGCCATGTGTAATGCCGCGCGCGCGCCGTGCCATGTGTAATGCCGCGCGCGCGCCGTGCCATGTGTAATGCCGTCCAGTCATTCTCTCTCCTTATACACATGCAGTGAGTGGCCCCCCGAGGTGTGGCCACGCTGCATGTTGCGTGTGATCGGGGGCGGCACTGACCGTGTCTGATCTCTCTTCCAGAGGTGACCAATGTGACTACGGCGGTGGACATCTACTCCTTTGGGATGTGTGCGCTGGAGGTGAGACAGACGTGTGCTGGTCTGTATAGATGTCTGCCGGGTGAGGTGACGCAGACACGGCTAATGATTGGGAGGGGGAGGGGCACAGCCTGTGGGGGGAGGAGCTGACGTGATTTGGTTGCTGTGATCTGACTCTGTGTGTCCTGCAGATGGCGGTGTTGGAGATCCAGGGGAACGGAGAGTCGTCCTATGTACCCCAGGAGGCCATAAACAACGCCATCCAGTTCCTGGAGGATCCGCTGCAGAGGGTGAGAGACAGGGGGGCCCCTCATAATGGGCGCAGGGATGGTGGGGGCCCCTCGTAATGGGCGCAGGGATGGTGGGGGCCCCTCGTAATGGGCGCAGGGATGGTGGGGGCCCCTCGTAATGGGCGCAGGGATGGTGGGGGCCCCTCGTAATGGGCGCAGGGATGGTGGGGGCCCCTCGTAATGGGCGCAGGGATGGTGGGGGCCCCTCGTAATGGGCGCAGGGATGGTGGGGGCCCCTCGTAATGGGCGCAGGGATGGTGGGGGCCCCTCGTAATGGGCGCAGGGATGGTGGGGGCCCCTCGTAATGGGCGCAGGGATGGTGGGGGCCCCTCGTAATGGGCGCAGGGATGGTGGGGGCCCCTCGTAATGGGCGCAGGGATGGTGGGGGCCCCTCGTAATGGGCGCAGGGATGGTGGGGGCCCCTCGTAATGGGCGCAGGGATGGTGGGGGCCCCTCGTAATGGGCGCAGGGATGGTGGGGGCCCCTCGTAATGGGCGCAGGGATGGTGGGGGCCCCTCGTAATGGGCGCAGGGATGGTGGGGGCCCCTCGTAATGGGCGCAGGGATGGTGGGGGCCCCTCGTAATGGGCGCAGGGATGGTGGGGGCCCCTCGTAATGGGCGCAGGGATGGTGGGGGCCCCTCGTAATGGGCGCAGGGATGGTGGGGGCCCCTCGTAATGGGCGCAGGGATGGTGGGGGCCCCTCGTAATGGGCGCAGGGATGGTGGGGGCCCCTCGTAATGGGCGCAGGGATGGTGGGGGCCCCTCGTAATGGGCGCAGGGATGGTGGGGGCCCCTCGTAATGGGCGCAGGGATGGTGGGGGCCCCTCGTAATGGGCGCAGGGATGGTGGGGGCCCCTCGTAATGGGCGCAGGGATGGTGGGGGCCCCTCGTAATGGGCGCAGGGATGGTGGGGGCCCCTCGTAATGGGCGCAGGGATGGTGGGGGCCCCTCGTAATGGGCGCAGGGATGGTGGGGGCCCCTCGTAATGGGCGCAGGGATGGTGGGGGCCCCTCGTAATGGGCGCAGGGATGGTGGGGGCCCCTCGTAATGGGCGCAGGGATGGTGGGGGCCCCTCGTAATGGGCGCAGGGATGGTGGGGGCCCCTCGTAATGGGCGCAGGGATGGTGGGGGCCCCTCGTAATGGGCGCAGGGATGGTGGGGGCCCCTCGTAATGGGCGCAGGGATGGTGGGGGCCCCTCGTAATGGGCGCAGGGATGGTGGGGGCCCCTCGTAATGGGCGCAGGGATGGTGGGGGCCCCTCGTAATGGGCGCAGGGATGGTGGGGGCCCCTCGTAATGGGCGCAGGGATGGTGGGGGCCCCTCGTAATGGGCGCAGGGATGGTGGGGGCCCCTCGTAATGGGCGCAGGGATGGTGGGGGCCCCTCGTAATGGGCGCAGGGATGGTGGGGGCCCCTCGTAATGGGCGCAGGGATGGTGGGGGCCCCTCGTAATGGGCGCAGGGATGGTGGGGGCCCCTCGTAATGGGCGCAGGGATGGTGGGGGCCCCTCGTAATGGGCGCAGGGATGGTGGGGGCCCCTCGTAATGGGCGCAGGGATGGTGGGGGCCCCTCGTAATGGGCGCAGGGATGGTGGGGGCCCCTCGTAATGGGCGCAGGGATGGTGGGGGCCCCTCGTAATGGGCGCAGGGATGGTGGGGGCCCCTCGTAATGGGCGCAGGGATGGTGGGGGCCCCTCGTAATGGGCACAGGGATGGTGGGGGCCCCTCGTAATGGGCGCAGGGATGGTGGGGGCCCCTCGTAATGGGCGCAGGGATGGTGGGGGCCCCTCATAATGGGTATATAACTCCCGGCTCCCCGCACAGGAATTCATACAGAAATGTTTGGAGACGGACCCCAGCAAACGGCCGACGGCCCGCGAGCTCCTCTTCCACCAGGCTCTGTTTGAGGTCCCGTCTCTGAAGTTGCTGGCCGCGCATTGCATTGTGGGACATCAGCGTAAGTGACACTTTCATTATAGAACAGGAAATGACCTCCGGCGTGTTGTCATCGGGTGGAGTTCCCCTTTAATGTCGGTCATGTGACTCCTCTCCTCC